ATTACCAAAGATATTTTTCAAAATCACTTGTCTAAACTAGCTGTCCTGTAAGTGTTTTCTGGCACTAAGCATATGTACTTCTGAACAGATCAAAATAATAGCCTTAAATCTAATCTGTATCAAGAGACTACGCAGATGTAAATAGATGCTACTTGTTTCTAAAAATATAAATGATTGTAAACTGTAGGATTAAAATATGCATAGATCGTATCGTGGCAAGCTACAACGATGTTTTTCTATTTCCATTTTAATATTCGAAAGCCTATTAGCTACCTTCATTCATTACTAAACTTTTATTGTTCTTGTAATATAGGAATCTTAACGGAAATAAGCTTTCTTATATTGACAGTATCTTTGCAACCTTAAAACAACTTAAGGAACTGTAAGTAACGTTTAAAGTTGTAACTAGCTTTCAAACGCACATAAAATTGATAATAATTGGGCAGTTTTCATAATTTCATTATAGAGGACTCAGTCGTTTTATGCTATCATGAGATTGAAGCCGTATAAAATATTTCTATTCACTAATAATGTTATATATTATGAATTAGATCACTTGCTGCTGCATAGCGTGATTGCTTCTTAGCTTATAACTAGCCTAGATAGATTTGTTTTGAACTTACATTAAAAGATTATCGGAAAATAGGTTCTATAGTGAATTCCCGATAATCATAAGTAGGATGGCGGCGCTAGACCAGAGACGACTAGTGATGTCAGAAATTATAATTAAGCAATAGGACAGCTGTTAGTGAATAATTTTTACAGTCGACAGCTGGGCAGCTTATGTGTCTAATTTTATAACTGCAATGTCCAAAAATAGTTTCAAATAATAAACTATTTTATCTGCTAATATTGGGCACCATTTACTAAGCTATCGTTCTATAGTAGGGATAAAAATAGTGCTTCTTACAAAGATATTAATAATATTCATTTAATATATCTAGCTTAAGTACTAATGGTTTAGATATGTAATGCTACAATTTTATTATGATTCATAGATATTTAGAACGAAATTCAATAGCCTCTATAAGTGATGATGGCTTTAGATCCCTCCGATATTTGACGAAGCTGTAAGTATTCAATGATTCTTACCCATACTTATGTCAAAATAAGTTGATTACCGATGCTGCATGCTCAGTATTAATCATTTATTGCAGTTCATTGAATTCTAACCGGCTTCAGAAACTTGACTGTCTGCCCTTAAAATCTAATATTTTTCTTACAACTTGGTAAATTTTGAGACTGGCTGCTCAAGAATTGTTTAATTTCCGTATTTATATATCGTACCAGCGTAATGCAACTTACTAGACTTTGTGCCAGTGTAATGATTTCAGTTAAGAACAGTAGCTATATATTCATGCTACAACTCATACATTATAGCCAGATATCAACGAATGGTATTATGGTATGCCCTGTTTAATGCCTAATTTGTACAATGGCTTATATTTATTATCTAGGCATGTAGCTCGAAATAATTTTTCAAAAATCATGTCTAACTGCTGGCCAACTTTTGGAAGACTAAAATCTTTGTAATGCACCTAGTTTGCATCCGTTTATCAATCATACAAATTTTAAATGTTTAATCTTATAAAGCAGTCCATTAATGGTGTCTTTACAATTTTTCATACTTATAGTGACTTTAGCTATAATGGACTATCTCATTACCAAAGTGTTATTGCAGAAGATATTTTAACCAATACAATGAAAGTTGAGGAAGTGTAAGCAGCCCAAAAAATTAAGGAAATTTTACTCTAGCAAAACTATTCTCTTAATAATATGAACACCATTTAAACAGGAGGCTCAAATATTGAATTTGGCAAGATTTTATTGATATTCTGATTATTCTAGGTACTTAGCTGGCAACGGCATAGAAGATATTTCTCAACTAGTAGTAAATTTACTACGTTTTAGACTAAGATCAATGTAAGTCCATAACTCTTCAAGATCGAAAGATATTTTTGTATTATATGCGTTACAATTATTAATTTCTACTAGTATTGGGATTGTTAATACTTTGATGATATCGTATTCCATGCTTTAATTCTTATCTGTTATTACACTAGCTAATTTGTGGATTATCTAAGTAGAAATCCATACTTTAGCGCTTACAATATCACCTTACACCTCCATTAGTCTGTTGACTAGATTATCAATATTTGGTTTTATCGAAGAATGAATACATGTAGTATGTAGTTAGATCATGAGAGACATATTATTATTTTTTAGTTTAGATTTACATGCATATTCACTGTCAATAAGAACTAATCATTTTTAATATAGCTACTCCAAACACGACACGTTTAGAACAATTATTTCATTACCTTAGTAATTCGACATAGAAAATACTGTAGTGTAACACAGAGCAACAGGATCAATCTCCGAATTCTATACTATTAATATGGAGTATTGCTTCAATTTTTCTTTGAAATCGGAAAGAGAATTTCTTCATTCAGTAGACATGCCAGTTTGTTCTCTAAAAATTGAAGTCACAAGTTGTAATGGCTCTAATACAAATTCATTCCTACCTTAGATATGTCAACATCTCTTTCAGATAGGATTCATTCTAACATGAATATTAAAAATCCTTTAGCATAATGGATCTTTTTTATTGCTTTTTCAGTGATTTTAGTTATAATAACCTGACTAAAATGGTGATCCGTCAAAAAATACAATCGTTACGTTCTAGAAATCTGTTTAATTGCCTACTTGATGGAGTTTCAAATGAACAGATACACCAAGAATCCGTGTGTGTCTTCAACTATTATAAATTGTAAATAATGAAAGGGTGTAATGCGATATTTATATTAGTCTAAGATTATAGTGCTGACGTTATAATGCAAATAAATGGAAATAACTTAAATCCTATTCGACAATTACACAGTAACTTCGCTGGTAATAACCTTCAAGAATTTCCAGAGGCCTTCAGAAATTTACGAAATACCATCCAATCATTGTAAGTGCTTTACAGCAATATAATATCGTCAAAAATTACTTATATTAAGCTATCAGCCTAAAGATCTAGATTAAACATACTAGTTTACAATTGTACCGTAGATACTAGTCTTCAGCATTAAGCAGACAAAGCTACCCATAGCAGGCGTAGATTACATTACTTTATATAGCAAAAAATGATCTTATATTCTAGACTGACTGCACAATATACGCGAACAGTATATTGCAACACAATATATTGCAACTCTAAGATCAGAAGACTAAATAGCGGACTACTGAAATCATAATTAGTACGCCGGGCTTTGTATATCTTAGCCCGGCCTTGTTTATCAAATGTTGCTTACTCATAATGTTACAAGGCGAGTAGTACTCTTAATTAATAAAGATAAAGTAAAGCAAACGTTATTAATTATAGGATCGGTAACAACCACGCTGGTAAACTTTGTGAAAATATCACTAAATTTTTTTAGGACCTTTAACAACAATAATATTACAACGATGGATTCATCGGATATATTTCGTAGCCATGACTATAGACTGAATAATTTGTAAGTTAAGAAACTGTCTGGCATACTATCTATCAGTCGGAACGCCTGATATAAATTCACACTAGCAATTGCTATCGTATCTTTTTTATCGATAAAATAATTATTAACTTATTTAAGTAAAAATCATTTAACCAAAATTAAGGTTACAATAATCACGAACTTCTAGATATCACATCAGATATCCATACTAAATCGTATAATTTTACTGCACTCAAATACTTATCATAATAACTTGTATAAATTTGTTAGAAACATGGCCAATAATGGATTAAAGACATTTAGCAACAAATACACTCTGGCCTTCAGCGGCCTTAAAACAGTGTATGAAAATGACCAATATATCCTTTAATTTAATTTTATTATCTTGATATGTCATGTATACTGTATGTTGAAAAATCTGTAATGCAATCTATTAATCTACATATAAAAGATACTTTTTATTTTTTAATTTTATAGCAATATGTCGAACAATTCATTAGTTGATATTTGCAAAACCGAATTCCAGTATCTTTTTCCTGGTGTAACTAACCTGTAAGTTAATGATAGCAGATCAGCTATTACTTATTTTTATATTTAAACCATTCTTAATTGATTTAAAGAAAATTCATCTTATGTTTTTCTATAAAACATTCATAAAAAATAATCAGATATCTAGATCGCAATGGCATTAGGAATCTAATAACAGATTGCTTTTCAAATCTGCGAACTTTAGCAGTACTGTAAGTTTATTGCTTTTATCTATCAAAGATGCTCATTTACACAAACCTGCATAGTATAAGTAATTTTTTTAATTCTCTTTGTTAACTTATCAATTCATTGACTATAGACGATTGTATAATTCTTTAAAACTGTAAAATATTGAAATACGAAATAATGTCGTAATATTAATCATGTGCTAACACTAATTGTAATATATTATTTCAGGTCGTTGAAAGACAATTCCTTGACCTTCATAACTTCTGATTCATTTGCAGGTGCTATTGCATTACAAACAGTGTAAGTACAGATATAAATTAAGTGACTAGTTTACCCACAATGATGCGCAGTATTTTTGCTACCAGAGGGTTGCGACATTATTTTGATAATAAACAAATATCTAGTCAACAGCCGCCCACACTCTTCCTGTAACATATCTAATGTACGACTCGAACTACTGATGAGCGTAGGAAGCCAAAGTTAATTAGCATCTTCACTAAAATTAAATTATGCAACCCAATTGCATTATAAATTAATCTGTTGTTCCATTACCTGAATATCAATTTTTATCACTATTTAGATAATATGGTCCTTTAGGACCGACCTTACCTTTAACTAACGTGTATAAATCAAGTAGCAAAACAACTAGTGTACAGTCTATCTTATGCTACCTGGCGAAATCTAGATACTATGAGAAATCATTCAGTGCCGGGTTCAATACGTTATCTTCCCATGATTATAATTCTAACATCTGATCCTTACACTTTTATCTAAAGAATGCATTGCATATTTATTATTTTCTAGATTATCTACTCGAAGTTATTTATGCTGCATGGTGCCTGCTAAAGTTACTACCTGTCAACCGTATGAACAGAAAGGATCTTTCTCCACGTGCCATAACCTTTTATCACACGTATCTCTACAGCTATTCATATGGATTGTGGGCTGTTTCGCTTTCATCGGCAATATCCTAGTTCTTGCTTTACATAAGTTTGAAAGTAAAAGTCACGGCAATAATGTCCCTCGCATTTTAATATCTAATCTAGCAATAGCAGATTTCGTTATGTCTATTTATTTACTTATTATTGCTATTGCCGATGGATACTACACAGGAAGATTTGCACAATTGTCGGAGTCATGGCTTTCAAGTGGTTATTGCGCATTTGCATGCTTTCTGTGTTGTGTATCTAGCCTAATGTCTGTCTTTATGATGCTATTAATCAGTCTCGATAGATGGTTTTGTATTGTCCATCCATTTTCAAGACATAGGTTTAATGCCAAAGCTGCAATAGCAACTGTGTGCACATTGTGGATATTCTGTTCTATCTTCGTTGGTGTACCAGCTATGAGCAGTATCAACGCTTCGGCAGAGAACCGATTATATGGATACAGTAGTATCTGTATGGCGAGTAATCTTACAAATTCCACGTTTGCCAACTGGCTTGTAGCCTTTATTGCTGTAACCATATGTTGCTGGATTATTACAGCACTATTATATATACAAATATTTTTGACAGTACAACAGAGTCATAAAAATGTTGCCAAATCAAATACTGCTAATGATAAAGCTATGGCAATTCGACTACTTTTAATCTTGGTGACAGATTTAATCAGTTGGTTACCATTTTATATAATGACTTTATTACAATTAACATATTCAGAAGATGTAAATATAATTACACTGCAATTTATCATTATATTCGCGTTGCCTATCAATTCAGCCGTGAACCCTTGTCTCTATACACTAACTAGTCCAACCTTTTTAAGAAAAATACGATCAGCTCGTATCAACGCTAATATCACTGGAACTGTGCCTAGTGCATTTACCGCTAAGTTACGGAAAACTAATGTACTTTCAGTTACTGTAGATGAAAAGATCAGTAATATTAATGACTAAAAATTATATCTTAAGGTTATTGATGCATTATGCGTAGCGTATACTATCTTTACAATTATTACTCGATTTTTCGATGTGTTGATAAATTTGAGATAATGGCATTATAATTCACTAAATCATAGCCCCGTCATTTAATAGATGGTCTTCGAAAAGTTTACTTTATTATCAACAAGCAACTGTTACAGAGTTGAGAGTTCTAATATATCTATTATCAACGCTTTGCTTTATTGTAGATCTATTAATTAAGAGTGATGCTCGCTGATAGGTACTGTACATGATGCATAATATCAAGACCATCTCCATGGCTTACACCATATAAAGTACAATAATAATCTAAATGCTATCTACAGAATATATGCTGGCATTAATAACTCCTCTAATTCTTAATTAAGTGTATTTACACATGTATGTTTAACAAACGAGATTGTATGCAAATATAATACTTATATCTAGACTGTACACTGTATACAGTAAATCGTGTTGTATGTACTGGAATATATTTAAAGTAATAAACACACATATATATTAAATAGATCAATAAATTTGGTAGTAAACAAAAAAATTGTATATTGATAAAAAGCTATGTTACGAATATTTCAGTTTGGTACGCCTTTTCTAGTAAGGTAAAATGATTAGATTACAGTTCACAAGTTAGATGGTTCCTATATAAACGGGAACAATTCAAGTATAATTGTGTAATGAATGTGGCTAGGCTAATAAAATTCTTCAATTTTACAGAACTTTACTATATGTTTTACGTTTAGTAAAAGAGCGTTTAAGTCAGAAAATTGCTAATAGACTTTTACTTTATGTTCCCTTGTCGCAGAGTTGGTGTGCGACAAAGGATCTGCAGAGATTTCAGTCAATAGCAGTGGTGTGTTTTGAAAGTATAATTGTTACATAAAGCAGCATTATAACGTAGAATAGCAGAATGCGTCAGGCTAATGTCATTTCCGCCTCGGTAGATGATAAGCCCAATCAATAAAGGTAACTAAAATTTTATCCCAAGGTTATTGATGCATTAAGCATAGCGTATGCTGTATTTATAACTATTGCTGGATGATTCACTATATTGACAACTTTGAAACGATTACTGTATGTTATCATTAACTAAATCGTAATTCTCTATTTAACAATTACGTTGCATGGTTATCCATTTTACGTTATTGATGCATGACTTATACTGTGTTAACAACTATATGTCATTTATTCGTATGTTGACAAGTTCATGACAATTATGGTACAGCTCGTTAAAATATAAATAAATATTCAATAATGATGTATTATTTATGTATAATATGCAACGAAACATATTCACAAATCACAACATTCGAATAGCATATGCACAATGTACGAGTATATTATTATTGTTAATTATATCCTGGCATTATAAATGATCTTGGAACAGCTTATGCATACTATTAACGAGCAAGATATGCAGGTTGCCTAGATTTAAAACGCATCCACTCTGTGTTCGTATCGAAGAGAATAAATAGGTTAATTTAATATAAATATTCTCTATTTCATTGTTTCTCTGATATGTAGAAATGGATGTGACAATGTCCGTTTATGTCGGTGTCACAAAATAGCTTTGTAACAAGATAACGTACGATCAAGAAGTCAATTGCTTGAACCACGTATCAAGGAACGATATCAGCACTATCAGGAACACTTCTGCTCTACTAACAGACTAGACAAAGATTTAGACGCCTCGTATTTTACTTTAAACACTAAGTTTAAGAATTAACTTTATTGCACCATATACTGCATTTGTATACTCTTCCTCAATAGTTCATGAGTCATAGTTAGTACGATTAACTTTGGAATCATTCACTGAATTAGACATTAATTTTAGCTATTGCTCCCTAATTAAGATAACTGTATTTACGAACATGGACATCTGATGACTAATACAGAATAGTCAGCTTGCGATATGTCCTATCACGAGACATTTCCACGATAATTTAAAATCTACCATAAGTAAGTTACAATCACATGATTCGAACTGTAAGTAGATCATTCGCATTCCCCAATATAACTATTGATTTCAGTATGTCTACATGTGTCACTGTCATAAAAAGCCAGTGCTATATTAAAACACATTATATCCAAATTAGAAGTTAACTAAATAAGGATAGGCTAACAAAATTATCCTAACGTAGATATTTCTACGCTAATACAGTATATAACACTGTCACACTTCCCCACCTGGCTGTGGCTAGCTCATGAAAGACCTGATAGCGGATAGTTTGATAGAGGGTCTCTAGTGTGCACTATACTGGGTTGAATGTAGTAACCAATGAGCTGGCACATTGGTTTTGCTACACCTACGCAGTGCCATTCCGCGTCCTTCTCTCTCTCTCCAACACAGCAGACATACTGAGTCGACTCACCGTTTAGAAAAGTCATGCGCAATTGTGCATCGATTGTTTGCTTTTACTCGAGCACTGGCGGTAGCAGCAACCTCATGGTCCAGAAAATCTCCAACGGAATTGTACAATGTACAGTACAGTGTGCACTCACTGTACAGTACAGTACAGTATACAGTACAGTACATTACAGTACTGTACTGTACTGCACAGTAAGACTTTTACCTCTACAGTACAGTACTACAGTACAGTACTGTATACTGTACTGTAGACTGTACCATACAGTACTGTACTGTACAATACGGTACTGTAGAGGTAAAAAAAATGGACTATATAGTGTACAGTCCAGTACTGGCAATGAAATACGACAGTATGATTCATCAAATCCTGTGTATCATTCACTATGTCGAAGATGTGATAATTCGATGGCGAATTGCAATCACCCCCCTATAGGGCCAGCGCACATAAAAATCGATCCATGTGATTACTGTCTTTCTTTCCATCATACTAAAATCAAGCACCGCCATGAGGTAAGAAAATGGCAATCTTTTCTTAATCGTAAACGACTACAAATCGTTGATATAGCTGACATTGACTTACATAGAATTGTAAGAAATGATGCGTTATCAATGATTATAACGAAATTTGTTAGTTTTATTACTTATTTTACCGATTGATCAACCATTTTAACTCTGAAATCGACTACCGAAACGCATCACTGTATATTGCGATTTACTGTAGGCAGTAGTAGACGTGATACCGATTTTTCGCTGATTTAGCATAATGACAACTCGTGTCCTATCCTCGACGCTTATCGTAGTACAGAATTATATTTTATAGAAACTGGATTATATTTTACATGTGCGTAAATTAGCTGCATCAATCTTTCGATCCTAATAGAATTGTTGCTTGTTACAATCATTTTCCTGAAATTGGAACGCTATCTCCGATAGTTAATTTCATTAGTTTATCGGTTACTTTACTGAGCTCTCTGTCATCTGTCAGTTGTACTTTGCCTCGTTCATTGGAAGGCCTAAATTCCTAGTGGAAAGTAGTGTAGACTGAACTTAGTTGAAAACGACTACTAAGGCGAGTGCTAATTAGAAGACGATAGATGTGCTCAACTCAGTTTAGTTTATACTGCACAATGGCAGATTCGTCTTATGGAGCACTTATACAAGGTTAAAGGAATCGATGTAGTTGACTCTGATGTTTGGTAGCGCTTTAGTGTGATGTCGGATATTGCTGTAGCGTACTTCTCTTACTTTAAGAACATAATTTTTCCTTCAGCGTATATTTGATGGAGTCAACCGGCATTTCTAGTCTACAGTCATCTCATAGTGCGATGTCATTGTTAGGACTTAAGAGTATATTCCACCCATACAGTACAGTAACTAAAACCGTCTATTCGGAGAATACCCTATTTCATGTTTTAGAGTGCAGTTTTGGATATATTCTTTCACCGTAGCAACTGCTATCCATGATGTAACAAATTTAATAGCGAAGTATAGAGTGATTGTAGCAACATCAAACGTATTTGCGTTAGTAAGTTAATAAATATAATACGCCTAGTCTACACAGAGGCAGATTATAAAACTCTTGCTATGATTTACAATCACACCTACAGGATAATGTAGTGGATGGAAATTGTTATGCTCGTAGCACAGATTGCGTCTGCGAATCGTAAATTATAGCTGATCATATTTCAAAAAGTTCAAGTATTTCGGCCCTGTTTAGTATTTGTAAAATTTCACAACTATCGTTGTGTTAGTTGCTCCGCAATTTTGGCTTTAACAAATGTAGGGCTTAGAAGTCATTATACAGTACGTCATGGAGCTGACTTTCTGACATCTACTACTATCGATACACTCAGTACGGCAGGCAATATTTAGCATCGCAGTAGTAATATTGGGTTACCGGTATCTTCAGGACGTCCATAGTACTTTAAAATTAAAACTCTGCCTTGCAAGGCGAGTAATCGACAGTTTGATGTCATACATTGTTAGTCTTTTAGTGAACTTCGTTATCAGACTGCCAGTAATCCTAACGGAATAAATGCTTGCTATTTCAGTACCCTACGTTTGCAGAAGCGTTTAGCTGCTAGCGTACTAAAGTGCGGAAAAAGAAAGATCTGGTTAGATCCTAATGAAACGAACGAAATCTCTAATGCCAATTCAAGTAATATTCTTCTATATATTATAATTCTTTGTAACACAGTACTGCATGTAGATTTGAATAAATCCCCTTCTATTCTGAAGCCAAATAATCCATTTTCCTAGGGCAAAATATCCGCAAGCTCGTAAAGGATGGTTTAATTATCAGAAAACCTCAAATTATCCATTCTAGATCCAGAGTAAGAACTGCGATGGAAGCACGCAGAAAAGGTAGACATCGAGGATACGGTAAGAGGAAAGGTACGGCAAATGCCCGTATGCCAGAAAAAATTATTTGGATGCGTAGGATGCGTGTGTTGAGAAGATTACTGCGTAAATATCGTGAAGCAAAGAAGATCGATAATCATATGTGAGTGATAAGCATAATTACTGCTTCCTCCGTTATTAGACATGACGGTGCTCTACAGTATCGAGTATAGATTCAAAATAACCGCCTTCATTTATCCTGTTGGAAGGTATCATGAATATTACGCTAAAGCCAAGGGTAACGTATTCAAAAATAAGCGAGTACTTATGGAGTATATCTTTAAGAAGAAAGCTGAGAAAGCTCGTGCCAAGATGTTTGCGTAAGTATTGTAATAGTTGATATATGCCACATTCTACAACTATTTATTAATTGAATATGCTACTGTAGGGATCAAGCCGAGGCTCGTCGTGCTAAGAAAAAGGCAGCTCGCCAAAGACGTGAAGATCGTATCACTGAGAAGAGAAATGAGCGCCTTGCTGCATTCGCCAAGCAAGATGAAGCTGAAAAGTGATCTACAACTGTACGACTTTTTGTAAAAACAGAATTATATACGTAGAAAAATAAAATTGTGAGTTCGTTGATGTAAAATCAATCTTGACTATGTTACTTTTAATGTGTAATACGAATATCTCACATTTGTGAAAGCTACAGCAGTGGTATGAATGCATAGACTGAGGTAATTAAGCTGAAGTAGTTGAGCATTCTAATTTTTACTTTTAGTTCTCATTGTGCAGCCAGGTAACTACCATGGAAATAGTTCAAATCGTTGTTAGGGAATTTGAGTCCTACAGCTTCTTGTTGTAGACTATAAATGCTAGATAATGTAGCATAAACTTGACAAGCTGTAAAATAAAACCAGCAAGAGTTGCACTGTAAGAACTGCGATTAAATAGTGTATTCCTGTCGCAAATCGGTGATCAATAGTTTTCGATAAAATTAATAACAAAACACTTTCGACTCCACAGTGTTCACTATTTATACTAAAGGAACTTTGATTACACTGTCAAAATTTGTATTACATGTATAATTATACACTTTAGGTCGAACCAATTACATCATAGTTAATGTACAGTTGATATACGTATAGTAGTGACTGTGATAATACAACGACTAATCCATCAGCAAGTTACGTTGATGGTTAATTGAGAAGTAGAACACCCGTTAATAATGAATAAGACATGGATAGGACCGTTCATGACTGATGAATAAAGCGTCCAGTATCTAAAAAGAAACAGCTGCAGTACGATCAGCGTTAAACTGCATCGCAAATGTTAAAGTTACTGTAGATGAAGACGAATCCCCCCCCCCCCCAGAGATCATATATGACGTAAGTACAGTAAATTGTAATGAAGCAAATCCCCAGCGTATAATGAATTCTTGCCGTTTCTCCCCTCCTTACAGCGTATTTATTAAGAGCGAATAGTTTATCGAATCCAATACTATTCGTGAATGTAAGACAAGCTATGCTCGCACCCTTGACCATAATCTGTAACAAATTTTCAGTTTTATCAGTACTTCGTCTAATACTAAGCTTTAGAAATAAATTTATGACAGCTCAAATGACGCATAGTCTTCAGTAAAAATATAAAAATTTCTGTGAGGATGGGATGATTAGAGGATGGAAAAAAAGAATATTTAGAATTCAATAGTTACATCTGCAAGTTTTCCCTTCCTATGACATAACTTGATGTAATATAAGCCCAATTTCGGCTGGCTACTTAGACGTAGTTGCTAACAACTAGTTCAATAACACATTTGATTCGCAGATTATTTCTGAAAAAAAATTGCTCGGAAAGGCTACAAGCTTTGCGCTTACATTTTGGTGCCATTTGCAAGTTTATTAATAGCCTCTATCTACTGTAGATTGAGGAGATTCATACCCTGTCTGCTTTCGTTTGGATCGTAGAAGTGTTTTGATAAACAAAATAATTTATATAACCATCGATCTAAATAATCAATGAAATGTACAGTACTCGTATATTAAAATTATATCAAATTATAGATTCGTACGCCAGTGTCGTCAAGATAGTCATAGCCAATGAGGGTAGTATGATGTTTTGCTTCCAATAAAAACCTTATATAACATTGTTTGTAAAATGTAATACGAGTAGATGTGCGGTATATGTATGTCTTTTGCATATACTGTACGCGAACGAGTATACAAAACATCCATAATTTAAGCAGCAGTTATTATATCTCGAATAGCAGAACTTTAAACCCATGGCTTTTGTTTTACTGAGAAAGAAATCATCTGATTACGTATAATTAATTATATTATACAAAAATGAGGAATTTAACCGTAGTACTAGCGATGGAAGGGTCAAAGTAGAGCGAATTTGCAGATAAATTGATTATTACGAACTAAGATTGAGCATTTCAGAACTGGCAATAATTAATTAATCTACCATAGAGGAGAAGAATAGTAGTGAAGCTTAAAATTATTTACTAACTAGTAGATCTGCAACTACAGTACTTTTATCCTCCTAATAACTGCTAACCGCAATTTTCAGAGAAAAGTCTGCATTTCGCTAGGCAGTGACGTATATAGTCGTTTATAACTATTCGGCAGGGCAGTAGTACGAAACAAGGCAGAATATCTAAGAGCTAAATTTAAACGGTATCAATCAAGTAAGAAAGACCGAATGAAGAGTTTTCAAAATACGAAGTACTCTTATACAAAATTGAAAAGTATAGCAAGAGGTATTTTTGTTCTTTCATCCGAATCTACAATTAAAAATATAGGCATGCAAAAGATAACCACTTTACTTACAATAAATACAGTCATAGCGAAAGGAAATTTTTCTGTCGATCAAAATCTTTAAGAATGCTGCATTATGATCATAGGTTTACCTATCTACGTTTTTGTAACAAAATAGACTAGTTTTCTGAAGCCCGGAAAAAGTCTTCTGCTCTTTATGTCCTCTTGCTATATATATAGTAATATTTCATGGATATAACGCAAAAAGTACCCAGGTTGCCGAAAGGTTTAACAATTTTGCACTGGGTACTAAATCTTTCCTTGCTGAGAAATGGCTGATACTGCGATTACATTTTATCACCATAATCACTTCGTAAATGATTTAAATAGCTCGAAATTTTGCCATCCAACTTAGTAGTATTAGTACTAGAACGTTTTATTAGTGTGGTTTAGACCTGGCTGTGATTACATAAATATTAAAGAGACGTTGTACTTGTTAATGATTGGTTGAATATCACTAATCACATAATAACTTTAGGCAAGCAATGAATTTGAGAAATATACTATAGGATAAGGCGCAATTGACGGAGGCAGGTTTAGAAATAACCAGTGATAAAGAAAAGTAAAGAATTAAATTCTTGAAACTTTTTCGTGTGTTGGTAAGAGCATATAGTGGGATTATTACGCAAAGGAAACCGTTACTATAGAGCGTTCTAAACCCGAAATTATTCATTCTCGGTGTCTAAGCTTTAACGCAAGAAAACCATGATGAATTTTAATTTTAATATAGTAAACTCCTTTTACATCAGCAGGTACGACTGAACAGCAATAATATTTTACATTGCAGGAGAGATTGTATAATCCAAATAACCTAAATGAATAAGTTTATCTGCAATCGTCAAACTTTCATCTGTTTAGCCTTCCTAATGCCTGCAATGTTACTGATCTCAGTGATCTGCCACATTTTCGTTATTGTGTTTACCCTTGATTCAAAAGTATTTAAGATTTTTAACATTTATGGCAACAAATTTATTGCGACAAAATCCGGAGATATCTAGCGATAAAATCTATAAAAACGAATACATCTAATTTAACTACTTACTAGAAAACTGTCCTAAACTAGTTTTAAGTATCAAACCCAGTGATTAAGGTACTTCATTAATTTAAATTAATAAAGAAATTAGTAGTTACACCGACATTTCAATTACATTGCAAAAATTTAATGAATATATTGAACCAATATTCAAGTTAATTTTTTTAGTATGAAATGATTAGACGTAAGTGTAAAACAGTTTCATTACGTTATTTGAAATACGGCGTTGCTAACGATATTACAACAGACTATATATAAGCCGATTAATTTCTTACAAAAATAAAATCATTAGTAAGCTGATCACATTTTCAGGCCCGAGGGAAACTTTATGCACTTAGTTTTCTAGTTATTACGCTTTCACAGGACGAAATTCTTCGGCTTCGAATCGGCTTTCGATTTCATCGAGTATCCTTTCTGCATCCAAAGGCAAAGCGTCTGATTCTGTTTTACTTTCTTTAGACTCCTTTTTAGACTCCTTTCTAGAGTCAGTAACCTTTTTAGAATGTTTTTGTTCCTGGTTATTGGCTTTAGAAACGACAATATTCGTTGGAGAAGTAAAATCATCCTCACGTTCTAGAAGTCCTTCGCGACACATGCCATTTTTGTCCACTGCTCCTCTGCAAGAACTGCTATCTGGAATTTGTTCTGGCGCTGTTTTGGCTATATCATCCTCCTCATGAGCCATTTCGGCTTCATCAATGTAACGGAAGGAATTTTTAACTGGGAAAACGTTGGCTTTAAATTCGCCCTTAACATTACCTTTGGGAAAGTAATCAGCTACTATCACTACAGTATTGCTAGATGAGGCTCTTGCGCAGCCAAGTTCTTTGGAACCATTCCAAATTACACGAGTGAAATGTCTAGCTTTATGTTGATATCCACCCTTTGTAAAATTATAAAAGCGAATTTCACTATACCACTCTTTCGTTACTGCTTGTGCGGTAATCCCCTTAGCATAACTAGAGCTAGCCATTAAAATATTCTGTTGAAGGCTTTCACGAACGGGATATTCAAATCGTCCATCTTGGAGTATTGCATCAGCGGTAACCTGGGCCTTATTTCTAGCATTATCGTTCCATACCAACGGTGCTGCGCCATGTTTATGCCTTAAAGCGTTGTGTGCTGCCAGACATTGATGTTCAAATTTGGACAAGCAGTGGCCTTTAAAATAGATAAAAAAATATCATATTTATTCTGAAATAAATACGTTAATACTCAAGTAGAGTTCAATCTGCACTCATGAATAAAATCAAGCAGGTACAAGCTTACTTGCGCTAAAGATACCAAAGATAAAAAGTAGTTGAAAACACAGGCTGAACTTAACCATCTTTTTTAATTCCTACCAAAAATTGAACCTTCAATCAAAAAATTGACCTGATTTCGAACACTTACACTTCCTATCTAATATGATGTGCTAATGGCCTTTTGCAAGGTTCTATAAGTCCTTCAGGGACCAAACAACGTTGTTTTACTTCTGGAATAAACATAATTGTAGTCGTCCGCTAATCCCTTTGGGACGTAGTCGCTATTCTCCCTTGAGTTTTCCATAGCTCCCATTAGATAATTGTTTGGTTAGTGACGAAAAACACAATTGATGCTTAATCCGTATATTTTAGTAGAAAGTAATAAGATTATCAGTTTCTCCAATGGATAAGACTTACCACTGTTAAGTTAATTCATACGGTTATTTATTTCGCTTACTATTATATCATGAATGAGTTATTATGCTGCATACTGTAATTTAATATCAACTTACAGCGCGTTGTGTTGAAAAATTAACTGAGCTGATTTACTTATAACCAGCGTCAGAGACTGTACCGAGTTTGTAAATTAAGTCAAACTGCACCCCGCTAATTTATCATCCATAAAACTTTCTCAACATTGATGATCGCCAATCCTAGTAAACAAAATTTTGGCCATCAACTTTGAAAAAGACATGTATAAATGCAGTTGGTTTAGTTTAGCTTACAAGATTGTGCGACATTATTAAACATTAGCTGTCAAAAGACAACATCTTTCACTGTAAAGTTTTCGTGACTAGAAGATAAATATCTAATTCGAACGGTAGGCTAATACGCCTTCTTAAATTATTTTTGCGAAAAGCTAGTGAATAGAGCAATCCCAAAAGACCAAACGTATGTATAGCGTAAAACAATTATTAGTCATCGTACTGTGTGGTTAGTGCACTAATGGACCACAGCTTGAATCCTAAGAACTAATCACGTTCGCGAAACAATAAAATATCACACGATGATTTAATTATGTGCTGCCTCTTCATCTAATGTTGAAATATTATAAAGGAAGCGTATAACCAGCACTAACGTACAGTATTTATTTTAGATCCGCTACTTAACTACTCAATTACCATTATAGTACAATGTTAAGCCGTACGTAAAAGAAGACCACTGGCTTAGAGACACAACAGGGTTCCTTTCCCTATAATGGCTAATGTACGATTATTCATGCAATCATTACAATTTCTTAGTATTTAATAGATTCACAAGCTGTGCTAATATTATGCAATGCTACAGATATTGCCATTGACATACATTTATAGAAGGACCACACAAAAATAATATTATTCAGGCTAAATAACAACAACACGAAAAAATTAATTTAAGCAACACTGCCATGAATCTCTTATTGGAATCACGGTCGTCACCTTGTAAGAAAATGCAAGCAAGTCTGATCTATAGTTTTAGAAAACCTTTGTTAATTTAAAATAAGTGCACCTAATGCCGCTGTATGAGTAGGAAACTGAAACTTTACATACTGTATATACGTATGCGTATTGTAAAATTAAATAATTAAATGAAATAAATTAATAAGATTCGAGATTTCAGCCTTGCAGATTGATTTTTAAAACTCGCACACTTTTTAATATCTCACCTATACTTCTTAATTAATACATAATATCAATAATTTAGTCGTGATTTCTTGATATGCGTTTATAATATGCTACTGGGATTGCTTAGATCAAATTCCAGCATCGTTATGAGATTTATCAAATTACAGAGTACAATTCAGATTTCGGGTTTCGGATTTCTTGATACGCGTTCATAGTGTGCAATTAGGATTGCCTATATCAAATCTCAGCATAGCATAAATTTACTTAATTAGGGTGGATAGAGTAAAATTCAGATTAAGTTTTCATCTGTATCAAGTGCCGAAGTCCACTGATCCGATATTTCATTTGGCTGTATCCATTTTAAGAAGGATATTACGAGCGCAACTTCATATAAACGTAGTTATTTCACGAATATTACTAGTAATATAGTGATTAATGTTATTGCTCATTTTCAATATCCGCTATGTAATGTTATTGCCTACTTATCTACTAATCAGGTTCACTAACATAAATCATGATGATAACGCGTACAGAACGGTAACAATAACATAATACAGCTAGAACCGCACTAGCACACAATCTATTATATATACATACAGTACATCATATATATGATGTATGTATGTGCTGTTAGGGTATTGGGTTCAGAATCTTTTCTCTGTGTAGCATTATATCTCTCTTTCTTTACCTTGTACCTGACGGATTTAGAGTAATATAATTCTCCTCTCTGAAATAGTTCTCTCTCGTCTCAGTCTATAAGTAGAAAGACATATTATTACACGCTAAACTACTGGACTGTGCAATCTACTGCATATTCTAAATACTTTACATCGTCGTTATTATACTGTATATTGTTCAAGATCCTACTACTGTCAGTCTGCCACGGCTAATTACCGGACTGCCTACAAAATAAACTGCCATTCTCAATGCTTTTACGGAAAGGATGATAGTTTATTTCACACACACTGTATGGAATAAAGCAATCGAAGCTAATTAATCGAGGCTATAGAAACGATAAAAAAAAACTGACGATTTAATTTATTAATTAAATGCAGTACATATTTTCACATCATAGACTACTGTATTACTAGTATACCCAAATATTGTTATAGAAGGTTATACCTTAATTATTTACATCCGTACTGAGTTCAACCATACATTATTCAATTTAGGTAAATTATAGCTTATTATAATTATTATGATAGAAAAAGTACTAGTAAAGCCAGTAAATTGAATATTGCACTAAATTGGATAGTATGATCATTGCTATCCGTGTACTTGTATTTATTGGAGTCCATCATCTATATAAAATTTATTTTTTTAGAGCTTATAGCGGATAAACTCCTATATACGACTCTTCGTTAGAAATGATCGACTGCAAGCTCAATTTGATATTGTACAATTAATATGCAAACCGAGGTCGAGAATTTGTTTCCTTGATTTAGCATAAAAATACAAAAAAAATAAATATCTCTATGGGATTTGCCACATACCTATAATATATGCGTACTATTGACTTGTATCATCAACTGGCCAATCAGAAATTGGGACTTCTTAGTATACGCATATTTGATACTATAGTACTTCGAACGCGAGATCATTCTTCCTTTTCTTCTCTTCTCTCTTATATCTCAATAAAAGTGTATCGCTTGCTACACTCTATGTAATGACTTTATTAATTGAGACTAAAGGACATATTACCAGATTTACATCCATTAATTAAACAGTATATAAGTAATATGATTCATACTGAAGACTACAACAGTCAAAGACGTCTAAATATAAGAGAAAATTCTTATACGTTTATTAGACTGACAACTTTTGCGTAGCGTACACTGTACAGAACGGTACTGTATGTGAAACATTAATTAATTATATAGTTATTAAAGTTAAGCCCTTTATCGGCACTTGGCAACAGCCACGATTGTTGAAACTTGTTGATATGGGCCAACTTTGTCACTACAATTTAGCTGAATGAAATTATCGACTGAATTAGATAATTGTAAGTCACAGCTATGAGCTAGGGAATCAAGAATTAGAGAGTTCAACTTGGCGAATAGGGATTGTCTCCAACACTGTTGAAAAAAGTGCTTCACACTTGTTTCAATGCTGTACTAAGCAATTCAAAACATGAGATGATAGCCTTGCAAATAATTTCTACCACACTGCATTACGTCAGTTCATGTAAACATTACTTTCAAGCGCTATGCCTATTCTTACGGCATATTAATGCTCAATGATGTTGATAATGCCTTGTATTACATCTATTACTCAAATTCTCCCTCGTTGCCGAAGCAAATTTATTCGATCACAGTAAAGTATATAGCGACGTAATCAGTTAGCTCCTCTAAAATAAACGTAGCCTTCAAAAGATACTGTAACTATTCTCCATTTCTCGTGACGATATATTTAATTAATGGGAATTAAAATTAAATTTATCGACAAAGCGTCGTTATCGAATTACTTTGAAAGCATGTCTGCGCACTATCAATCTGCATCTAGGAAGGAGCACCGTCGACACTCTTTGCAGTAGGGAAAATTTTCGATACAGAGTTGTAGCAGGCTACATTTCCAATGAATACAGTAAGTTAGTACGTCAAATTTATCAATAAACTACGTACGCGCACATCAATGATATCTGCAGCGACACTAACTAATGCTCAACATCAAAGCAATTACAACTCCTTTAAAGACTCATCGTTTTATTAAACTTTTTATTACAGTAAAGATTCTATGAGCTAAAACTGACAATCTTTCCACCGCTATTAACGCTTCTTCCCAGGCAGAATAACACCATCATACTAGAATAGAAATGTAAAGTAAGTTATATTAGACATTAACAAGATAACGTAAAGAAGGCTGTAATCACAAGATATTGTACCTTCTGTTGGAACCATCTTATACTTTCATCTTTAGTCACAAGATGAGAAGTTCCAATACGCGAAGCCCTTCGTTTGCGTTGGCTAATGTTAAACCCTGGACGGCCCAAAACTACGAAAAAGTCCATACCGTAGATTCCAATGTTCGGATCATACTTGATTCCAAGATCGATGTGTTCTTGGATACCAAACCCAAAATTGCCAGTTGCAGAAAAGCAATCTCTTCGTAGCTCATATTCGCGTACTTTTAAACCACGCTCAAGGATTTCTTCAGCTTTAGCACCACGAACTGTACAATGAACTGCAATCTTTTCATTACGACGGATACCAAAAGAACGGACGGTATATCGAGCTAAATACAAAGTAACGTTAGAAAGAAATAGACTTTCATCACTTCTTTTTCTTGATTGATCAACAGCAATGAACAAGATGGTGCTTTAATAACAATCGTCATTAATCAATAGAATGACATAAAACTACACCTAATTTGTATTAGAATTACAGTGGATTACTTCGCCATTCTAAAGTAACTAATGAAAGCGATATTTGTATAATGCGTATACTGGTACCACAATTCCAATTGAAAATAGAAACATACCTTTCGAGAATACCGGGGTCTGTCCAGTCAGTTGTTCCAAAACTTTCGCAGCCCTCGTCAAACGATCACCACTTTCACCAACACAGATATTGAGGCAAAGTTTAACTATGCGAAGTTGTCGCATAGGATTATTCGTCTTCTTCTGTAAATTTAAGTAGTATAAATAAGATTTTTATCAATGATTGATCATTATACAGTATTGCGTCAAATCACGACATAGTGTAATGCTGTCAGCAAAGGAAAGGCTTTATATAATACAGTATACTGCAATATCTTGCATTTTTGGATTGACGACAGTACAGTATAAATGCTTGTATTAAAAATGCAACATGGTCACACAATAAATGTGAAAATAGCTAGAACAAGGGTGACGTTTTAATGTCTTCTAGCGTAGAGATAGCCCCGAAGATGCTCTGAATGCTATTACACACAAAATGTAGTGAAACAACACCACGTAATTTGTCTTTTAAAGTAACCTTTTATACATGGTGAATTCCTATCGTGCATCAATAACTCCAGTTTCATCGCCATTGATCAGACTCACAGGTGACGTAGTTTTTCATTGAGACTATGCAACATAAATTAGTGAAATTTATCTCAACTGCCCAACATATTAAACACTGCATACTAACATCAAAGGAATATACTCATCCATGTCGCTATATGTATCGTAAAGCATACACGGTATATAACCAAACTTTTATTACATACGATATGATCTACCAGGCGATTCATATTATACTGTATATAATTTGTAGCACTGAAATGCATTTGACTAAGCAAAGCCGATGGATTAAATATACTCTAGTAAAGCAACTGCGTTGAACATAGCAGAATCATCCATATTCCATAAATATGGAAGTAGTCAAGGAATAAGATAGGATAAAACAATGTAGTACTGTCCTCTTCTTATTGCTTGGCCAGGATAGTTTTGTTTCATGCAGATGACTGCAATACAAACTATTCACCTCGACGGATTGACAAAGAAAGATTATAATTATGCCGTTCAGACTGATCGAGTAAAATCGCTTTACCGTGAACCACGGCGACAGAGACTTCGGTTTAAGGCAATCTAAACTACCATTTACCACATCGGCTAATTTCGAAAACTTTGCAGTCTATTACAGGCACTGATAAGTAGTATATGAGACGGTTAGAACAACTAAAATCTCCATTTCTGAATTCCTTACGGTAAAAATTTTGCAATGGCAAACCTAAGCAAGGATTTCGAAGAGAAATCCCTGACCTGGCTCAGCACGATGACTGCTATCTTAGCATATACAGTACAGTATGTCCGTCGACCAATGCGAAATATAGCAGCGTGTGTGGAAAATGATCATTTCACTTGGTATTAATGAATAAACTCAAAAATAACTAGCGATAATGATTAACTTTGATATCATTAAAATGTCTGAACAAAAATAGTTAACAAATGTATAAAAAATGGGGAGGATTAGTACCGATAGTGTTTGACTTACACTCGCAGTTCCGTCAGCCATTTTGATAGCAGAGAAAAGAATGAGGCTGGCTCGTTCGACCTATTAACTACGCAGGTGCGATGCCGTCCTACCGCAAGTACATTGTACCATGTGCAACAGTCGTAATGTCGACTTGGTACTGTAGACTTTACCGATGACATCATTTTTGCTAGTAAGTTATTCTATTATGTTACCAGTAAAAGTGGAAAAGTAAAGCTCGTTGAGCTATATACAGTACACTATAAACTATACTGTACTGTACTGCAGTAGTAGATATCTACTGTAATTAGTCGCTTGCAAAAATAGTGTCACTAATACAGTATGTACCATACTGTACAGTATACTGTACTGTACAAATATCTGTACATACTGTACAGTATGTGTGTACTGTACTGTACACTGTACAGTACTGTGCTGTACAGTTGGTCAAACTGTGTACTGCATTACTGTACTGCACACCGCAAGAGAGTACTGTACACTGTACAGTACTCTGTGGAACGCGTACAGTATTACGTGTCCCTTCTGGGTCACCGTAAGAACGTGACCTTTACTGTACAGTATTTTGCAACGTGCACATCCAGCACTCAGTACTGTACTGAATACTCACTGTACACTGTATTACTGTAAACTGTTATTCATTTCATGATTATCATATGATGCCTTTGCAGCATGATGATTGGACATCGCTGACATGGCACCACTCCATATCATTATTTGTACTGTACTGTACTGTGCTGACTATTGTAGAGCAGACTCAAAGCATACTGCAGTATTAGGTTGGCCTTCTGATTTGATAACAGCCTAGCACCAGCAAATGATTACCTGCCACTAGGCTCTAGCTGGCTGCCCATTGCGTGATTGAAATCTAGTTGCAGCATTGGATTGCTTGTGCGACATAATAGTCACGACTTTAGCCAGTGACGACTAAAAAGAGAAGAAAAATAGCATTGTTCACTTGGGATGTACTAAACCTTGTAGCCTGCCATTGCTTCACTTACTTGCAACGATATCCATCAACGAGAGAGGGAAATTCTAAAAGCTTGCTTATCATCCATTCTTCTTCATTCATTGCATTGGCATATTAACCACCACACAAGGCTAAAATTCTCATTCTTCCAAACATTATGGCAGATACAGTACGGCGATTAAAGGTTCGCACTCACCGAACGTCATTATCCGGAGAAACTTCAGCCTCTGATGATGAAGTCTTAAATGTTCATTCGCAAACTGTATCCAACATCACAATGGACTTTTTCTATAGGCCCAAAACGATCTCCTTGTTAATTTTTGCTGTTGGTATTGTCGTTATGATGGCATTTAACAGGTAAGTCTGACTACTGTATATTCATAATATCCATTTCTCCCCAATCTCACTTATTTATTCTACTCCAATGCTATCCAATCATAATATCAATAACAACACTATCCTAAAAGTTATAGCAACACCATGTTCATTCATATCGGGATAAGCGAACTTCGAATCATCTGAGAACAACGTACAGGATGCATGACATCGCTAATGTCGACATGTGCAGTACCAGACTGCACTATTCCAACGTCATGTCTAATAAAACTAATCGCTATTCACCCAATGGACATAATACTCTCAAATTGAATCTTAAGCCTCCATTCTAGTTGTACCAATACCATAAACTATCATTAAAATGCAACTTGCCTTGCCTTGCTACTTACAAATTGATGACCATCCATGCCCATCTCCCATCGACGACCAATAGACATACCACCAATACTGCAGTGTACTTTGCTCTGCTATAACATTACTCCTACGTTACAAATGCCTACAGCATCCACAAGTGCAATACAGTAATGACATATTCAACATTAGCTCTTCGTCCATTTCAATTGAACGATAACTCACCATGTTGCTTTATAAAAATAGTTTTACCAACGTTATGATGCGTACGTGAAGTCATCGCATGCCATGATATCCAATGTTTGCACAGAAATGTGGTCCATTTTGAATAAGTGCAAAGCGCATTCAGTGATAACATGATGATATCAATTGCAAGTTTTCCAGACCACTGTACCTCAGGATATCTTATAAAGCAGCTTACAGCAGTGACCGATGTCAATAAATCAGCTACCCATTGATACACTCTTATGGTTGCGCCATCCATTTTGATTCATCGATGTATTGTACAGTACGTCTCTAAATGAGCAATAACTACCTCTTCGAGCTTATTGGGTTAGCCGCAACGGCTTAACTTACTTGAATCGTCCAATTTTTCCTATCCAATAAAAAATTATATGTGCAGTACACGTATAGTAAATTAATTGTCCTGCACTTGAAGGACTAAAAATATTATTAACATTACAATACAATGCTACAGTAGTCTGCAGTTTGCACATTTGCTGGACCATGGTACCTGAGAATGTCAAAACCAAGATTCTGATAGCTTACAGTGTGCAAACTGGGATAGTAGTCCTTGGCTTGGATAATCGATTTGTAAACACTGTTTCATTCATTAAATGAAATAGAATGATTTAGCTTAATGGCTGATTTTATAACTTGTCAATTTTACAATCAACATACTGTATCTGGAATGAAGCCGTTGAATCTGAAACATAGTTGATTTATTGGACATTCGTCATCTCACAGGTGCCATAAATTTCTTATAAACTTATCTATCGGCGAGTAAGATCAGATGCATACCCACGATAAATTACAGCACTTTCCATTAAGATTAAGATAGCTTACCACTGTAGATTACAACAAAAGTGGAAAATCTGAGTAACATGGTAGTGGTAGTATTCTCTTTTTACGACTACACTGCCTTAGAAGCTAATCGTCACTATAGTTTCTTCTATATGAAATATGCTAATGAATACCACATCAGTACAGACTAGATCTAAAGTTTTCTTGTTATACTAATTATAACATATCCGATAGAAATCCAAATGTTAATCGTGAGGACAACATCGCTTCGGGACTGTTTTGCGTCACTTTTCTATTCCTTATCGTGAGTTTGATGTGTTTCCCTAACGGTAAGAATAATTAATGATAGAATACCAAGTTGCAGGATGATAAGCTTATTTAAAATACTTGGCTATAAATAACGGCTCAACAATACACTTGGCTCTAACTCTAAATTCTCTTACATTGGCATCATCCAACCTTGTCCGCTACGCATCATCAGTTTTGGCCATGTGCTTATGTGTTATATTTGCCTCAAGTGCTGGACTATCTAACTTGCATGTTCTCTTAATACGTGTATTATTCTATCTTTTGCGTACCTTACAGTAAACCAATTTCTATGCAGATGCTCCATTTTTTAATGTCGTCGTGACGATCAAACAATACTAAAATTCAGTAATCGATGTACTACTAGTACTCTATTTGGAATATGATAACGTAAAACTGTAATTCTCGTCCTTTAGCTAATATTGTTGTAATATATTATAAGTAATTGAATATGCAATTTCTAAGTACAGCATTACGAAATTTGATACAACTTCTAGTCAATAAATCTCACTATTTGCTATTACTAAAATAGGCCCTTACATTCGACCTCATCCATTAGTTTGGAGGGTGGTATTTGGTGAGTTTTATTACTAAATCATGAATGTATAATTCCTTACCAATAATAAGTTACTACTATTATTTTAATTCAATGGTATATAACAAAATTTAATAATACTGCTTCAATATTGTAACCGGAACTTACTGATTTATTTTCTAATTAGGAATTAGCTTAATATACCTTTTAGGATTAACATTCATTCTCTTTCAAAAACTGAGTGACGTAAGAGCCATGCTAGGCTGGTTATATCCAGAATTATTAGACGTTAAACCAGAAAACAAGGTAAAAATTTTTTACAAAATGTATACCCTACATTCCTTTATACTCCATGTAATTAATGAAACGTTTATTTTTCGTTTCTATTTACGCCGCCGCGTTCCTAGTCGTGGGCAACCAACTGCGCCTTTTCTTTTTATCGTCTTTGGGAGTGCCTTGATATTTATGCTTTCGCTCACTTTATTGGTTGGGTTTTTAAGGCACTATTCTTACGCCATGCTGGTATACTTTGGGCAATTAGCGTTCTATGGGAAATAACAGAGGTATGATAGCAGTTTAAAATATATTGGATGTAACACTGCACATCTACATATGCAGGCTATTTAGCTTAAAGGCTTTGATGCTACTTTTAGCTAGCCTTCAAACATTTATTACCTAACTTTGCTGAATGCTGGTGGGACATGATTATACTTGACGTACTATTGTGCAATGGACTTGGCATATTTGTGGGCTTATTCATTTGCCGCAAACTTGAAATGGCATCGTATCACTGGGAAAGTGTCAAGTTAGTAATTTCGGTTTGAATTCTTGTGTTTATATATTCGCGTCAATGATTAGAAATTTCTATGTTCGTGATTTCTGTAGGGATATTCATACAACTAGCGGTAAAATTAGAAGGGTAATTATGCAGTTTGGTCCTGAAAGGTAAAGACTAATGTAAATATCATTTCATACCATCTACTATCTTATGACGACCTTCCAATTGACTCTACTTTGCTATGTTTTTTCAGTTTTCAACCCGTAAGATGGTTTGAACCAACAAGCACAGTTATGCGAATAATGTATGTATGGCAGTTACTTTTTGTGTGGCAGGTACGGCTTATTACTTGCTTCCTTTAGGGAACAAAACTGTCCATGACTTAAAATAAACAAACATGATTTTTGTACGGCTAATTTTCCTTGGAATATTATCTTATTTTCAGATATCAGAATTAAATACCTTTCTACTAAAGCACATCCTTATGGTTCCTATATATAATATGCTCAATACTTATCGCTTGCTGCTAATTGGTGCAATTGTTTCCCCGTCTATAAAGTAAAATAATATTCAATCCTGATTAATTACATAATCAACTCTTCATTAGCTCTTTGAAGTACAGTTCAGTAGTAAATTACTTATACTACCATGTTATCTTTACATCGAAATCACTTATAGGCAATATTACGTATATACTACGGACGCTAGATCCAGGAGCTTGGGTACACAATGCTGGATTTTTTTGTAAGTATAGATATGTAAGTATACCAATACAACTACAATAAAAATTTTAAAATATGCCTTATAAGATCAAATTTACTCTACAGAGCAATCACACTTATCGAATTCCTAATTTGTCTGAAATTTGCACCTGAATTATTTGCAAAAGCTGACGTAATTAAAATTGGCTTGTGGGTCATCTTTCAGGTAGCTTTGACCTGAATTCGTAATCGGTGTGACTAATTTCATATTTATGACCTATCTAAGCAACTTTACTGTATCATTTACAGGCTGTATACTGTCTGGTGATAACTTATATATTCGTTATGATCGCAAAAATTCGTGGGGTAAGTTTGCCGATCGCCAGTATGAAATAAAACTGCAATCTGCACAGTTATAATTTCGATAAAGTAACAAACTCTTTTTACTTATTGATGCTCAGAGAAAACTTGGAACTCGTCGACGATCTGGGGCTCAAGATCTAAGTGGTACAGCTAATGAATTCGCAAGGAAAGCATTGCGAAATCGTGACAATGTTGACGAAGATAGTAGTGACACGTCTCCAAAATATCGGACTTCAAATCATAGAAAAGCCCAAAATGGATCGTACGGTCTTCGATCGAATACTAGACGGCGGAGGACTGATGTCAGTGTTAATAATTAGTTTATTGTAATTACCTCATACGTACAGTGTGCAACTTGTGGCGGTCTAGCTTTATCGCTAAAGAAAAACTAGCGCTGTTACCCATGGTCGCAGCGCCCTAGCATCAAAGTATTTTCCACCGAGAATGACATTATGATGCCAAAATGTTATTGCGGATTATATGCTCTAATAATTACCTACAATTCAATAATTGCTAACTATATTACGAAACAGCACTAAGTAGGACTGTTTACCTTAACCTCAATATCAATTTTTGATTAATAGCACTGATCAATGTATTAAAATTTTCATCAGTTGGATTCTGATATCATGATTTCCTATAGGACATTGTACTTATTATCTATTCTTTCATTGACTACCAGTATAATCATTTTACGGCTTTGCCCATCTTTGTTCTCTGTGGGAGTTCGTAACCAGCGAAATATCACTTTTGCTATATAATCCTTGTAATAACAAACATTTTCGGCGCTAGTACTGTATTAATACGTAATCAAGCTCGATACTAGAATTTATTTGACGATTATTAGTGCATATTTATAGCCATAAACTTGCATATTTTTGACTGTATAATATACGAAATTGTTAGCATGTTAAGGTGGAAAAATAAATTGTATGTACTTGCTTCTGAAAGAAGTTAATGGCCATCATCTCATTGTAATAAATCACAATTACTGACAGTAGTGAACTTTGTAGATCACGTATAAATAGCATTACTAACTTATTGAAGCAAACTGATACGCGTAAGTGGCTTGAATTTGGGAAACTAGCTTGTCTTTATTTTTGGCACTTTATATTACGACCATGACATATTAATGTTAATGATTAACTAACAGGCATATGCTATGTGTTATGCTATTCAGAACCCAATAAGAATCGAATTATCATCGCTAATAATAACATTATCAGGACTTGACACTGCACAGCGTGAAAACAGAAACACACCAGCTCAATATCGCATTTATGTACTCGTGACACTAAACTATGAAATACGCGTATGTTGAAATTTACAATCAAAAAGGCCAAAAATTTTACGGTCATACGTATTACTTATTAAGATAGTTTAACAATCATACCAGACCACATCGTAAACAGTAATAGTGTTTCAATCATGATCTTGCATATATTACAGTACGTATTAACGTAAATCCTTGCATAATAAATGCTGGAATATTACCAAGATAAAGTTTTAAGTTAGAATTACTGATTAATTCCAGTTTAAGAATCGACTGAATTCCCAATAGTCGATCAAACCATCGTTATTCATATCGCATCTATTAATAAGCTGAAGAAATAAAAATACTAACGTTAGAAAACAATTATTGATGACTTGATACTATCTAAAGTGCAATATACAGTAATATTAAAATAGCTCAAATTCCTGAGCAGTGTTGCTACAGGCAGGTTTTTTCAAGTTTAACAGTAAATCAAATTTACTTACAGTTCGCAGAAGCTGGGCATCACATGGTAAATTAAATTTCTCGCATAATGTAGCAAGCTCATCCCGGTCAATTCTTCCAGATCGATCTTTATCACATTGCAAAAAGGCTTCCTGTAATGAATGGCTGTTCATGTAATTTTCACGTTTCAGTTGCGCTTGGATTGTACGTACCAATTCGTCTAATTCTTGTTCACTGTTCAAGATTAATTCAAGATAGTAAATGATCTATATCACTACGGGTATAGTGTTAACTTATTAAGTCTTTTATAGAATGAGCTGTTTCATAATTTGAGAGTCATATCAGCCCGATGTGAACTAGTAGATGTCCATGATAAATAAAATTAATTAATAGAAATGTATTACTATGATAAAATACATACTTTCTCACAGGAGCCGCCATATTTTTTGTCTTTTTTGATTCAATCTGTTTTTTCTCATCTCGAATTTTATCTTTTCCGATTTTATATTTTCGCATCGATTCGATGATATCGGATGGAAATTGATCTGGATTTTCTTCGATGTAGCGGAATACATAATCATCAGCATCGGTTATAACAAACTTGTGACCATAAACAACAACAACTGATCCAATAGTAAAATCTTTAGGGCCATAATATTCTGGTCTATTTGGATCACACCCAGGTTTTACCACTCTAGTTCTCTCTAAGAATTTTCCACCTATTATTCCAGAATTTCTGAGAAAAGAGGACGCATCTATTAATTCATGAGATAGTGCTATAGATTTTATTGGAAGTATCTTGAACAATAGTATTTCGATTTGAAGCTGAAAAGTTATTTCTAAATCTTACCTCTGGCGTGGCTCATAGATAAGCATCAAGTCATCCGCTAACCGATATGTAAAGACAAATCGACGAGTAGCATCTTCTGGACTCGGGTTCACCTGAAGTAAGGAGTTAATATTCCCTCAATATTAACGAAAGTGACTAATCTGAAACGGCGACCGTAAACATTATCGTAACGGACAGCTTACAAAATTTGCATACATAGAATGGTAGGTGACAGTAGAACTTACATATTTAGCTTCATAACGAAGAATAACATTGTTGAATTCAAGCATTTTCATAAAATCTTTCTTTGGAGGCTGTGGTATCAAGGTCTTACAAGATTGTTCTGAATCTTCAAGACTGCCAAAACCATTATATGGTGGAATTTCCTATAAAGCAGTTATTTAAATCAGTTATAGTGATCATAAATTGCTAATAGCAAAATTAATATTTAAATCTGTACTACTTATACTACTTGGTGATCGTACCTTTCTAGGTGGAGGTGGACGCTTTTCCATCACATCAATAGGTGTGAAATCAGTTATATTATAATGTTGATAATAATAATTTTGAGTGAAAAGATCGCAATCATATCTAGTAAGTAAGCAGTCAAGGAGTCTTTCTCGTCAAGTTTCATAAGTGATTAATCCTGTATTATGTAACAGTTCTAAGCGTTTTGCGGCTTAAACTATTTTATCCATTGAATTTTTAGTATTACTTTCAATTGGATAGTAAAAATAACAAAGGATACAATAGGAATCTTCGACCTAGAATATTCAAGGTTCTACCAATTCTGAGGTCTGATGGAACTATGTAGTCTTTCAATTCCTGACTGGATAACTCTAGCACCGATGTTGGAAATGACGCTAATCATTCAAAACAGTACGTTAGCTTAAAATAAATAGTCATACGATACATGGCATGGATAAATTGAAATCATAAACAATATCAAGAGTAACAGCCATTTGCTTACAAGGAATTGAATTCCGATTCAATGGTATTTTTTGCCTTGACATGAGTGAAGGGAATGGATCGCGTCCACTATTTTGCTGTCGAACTTCACGAATTTCAATCGTGTCGTCAACCAAATAATAATGAAGGACCTATTAAAATTTATGGAATGGTTCCTTATCGAGTGACTAGATCATATAAGATATCAACGTCACTAATTAATAAATATTAGTGAGAGTAATAAACTTACGAATGGCCTCAATTCACCAAACATATTGTCACGATCATCCCAAATGCAGAAAAATCTTAATACTTTCTTATCAAGCGTTAGAAATTTTTTCAATTTGTCTTCATCTGACTTGGTTGCAAAAGTTCTTTGCTGAGTATTTCTTTTTTCGATATAAGGATCAGGGGCTGGAATTTCTGGAGGGTTCATGACGATACCTTCACTTTCCAAATAATCCTAAGATGACACGATAATCAATTATGCGCGTTGAAGAATTGCATTTCGAATTATCTGATAATGCAAACCTGGGTGAATTTATCACAGTCATAGATATGAAAGACTTTTCCGTAAGTTGATAAATTAACACCAAGATTAATGTCTTTCCAATGCCATGTGCTACCGAAATCATCTTTTGGTAAACGTTGTCGCTTTAATAGTTTACCTTGCGGCATTCCGCTATTTACATCAGTAGTATTATCAGTCAGTGAAAAACAATCTTGGGAGTAGGCTATTCTACTCAATTAACAATATCATCTCATAAAGTTAAGTACCTATTTCTCATCGGTGGTTCAACAATTGCGATGGAATCATCTTCCAAATAGTAATAAATTTTCACAAATCGTATTCGATAGTATTCATCTGCTGATTCATGGACAGCTTGTTTGTAAAATGCTTGAAAACATAGTACCTACAAAATATTGGCAGTAAAAGGTTACTTTACAGAGTAACTCAATAGTTTCAGATGTACTATTGTAATAAAGCTATGGCAGAATATTAGAACTATAAAATGGCTCACTTTTTTATCGAATGCAACATGTGCGGGTATGTAATCCTCCTCAGGGGCTTGATTAGCTTGCCCATATATCATCTCTGGTTTGTTTATAGCCAATTGAGAAAGATTGGGAAGTTCATCATATAAAGTTGTTGTTAATTTTTCACCTCCAATGCCGGCTTTTGGTGGTGGAGTAACCGTATATCCATTCCTGAAGCCTAAAGTTTGAGGCTTATGATACTTGGTTTTCTGCAATATAAAATCAGACAACAGTTTAGATATAAAACATTACAGGTCATTCTCTATGATGTAGAATAATGGATAGTCTAGTATCTATAATAAATATCTTAGCTTCTACATTAATTGGACACATTACGATATATAACCGTATAATTCGATGTCTAAATTATGACCGCAATATATGAATGTTTTTTAAACTGGCGCACTGATTGCCAAGTAAGGATGAAGTTGTTATTAGAGTACTGATAATATGTTTATATTGTACTGTATGTGCGTGAATTTAGATCAGGACATAACGTTTAGATGTATTATTAGAATCTTTCAAGACAATTTTAAAACTGGATTTATCAATGATGTACGACATAACTCCAAAGTACGAAGCACTAAAAGCATTAATATTGTAACTTACTGTAGGATCACGAAAACTGTTTCCAGGTAAGAGAGGTAATCCGGACATTTTGATGTTGGTTGAAACGATCAGTTCTAATAGTTGAAAATTTTGCAAAGCAATATGGAAAAAAATTGCTGACGATGTAGGTGTCTAGCTTCAGCACTAACTTTCATTAATTGATGTGATTTTGTGTTGGCAATTTAACTTCAATATAAGCAGTAGTGAAGCAAAACAATTATGTACTGTTGCTAAGATACCAAACATTCTGTTTTGCAGACTTCTCACAGTCCAAGACGCCGGACCTACCGTGGTATGTACTGTACACTGTACAGTACAGTACCGTAACGTTAGGGTTAGGTTTAGGGTACTACAGTACAGTGTACAGTACTGTACAGTACTGAGGGTGGGTGGAAAGTCATTTGAGATTTCTAAGTGTGATATCAAGATATTTTCCAATGATTTTCCACCCATTTTTGTTGTAATCGTATAGAATAAAGCTGATCCTATTTCATGGTAATAGCTGTCATGACCATACCCTTACCGAAAAGACGCTAAGGTCAATTTAACCCGGACGTCTAAATATCGCTGACGTAAAATTCTGGCTTATCGCCCAGTTTGCTTGGGAATTGATTACGTGCCTCTTGCTTATGACGTCACTACCCAAAACAATTGTTTGTATTTTTCTGCCTAAGACCGCACCGTCTGTATACAGTACAGTACAGTACTGAACCAGTATGCCAGCCACTCGTAGATTCCTTGTCATCATGATTACCTATTCCACTAATTCTGCTCCCATGTGGACGTGGTGTGGATCATACTGTAGTCAGCTTTCTTCTTATCGCACGGCAAGTCCCCTAATCTAATGAAGTGCAGTACAGTGTACTGTATACTGTAAAATAGTAATACTGTACAGTACAGTACTGTAAAGTACAGTGTACAGTACTGTACAGTACTGTACAAATTGGCTACAGTACATTGTGGTATCGTACCATTTCATCTTCTTTCCAATCAAATGATACCAAATTTGTCTAATAATTATATGCAATAAAAATTTCATATAATTTTCAACAGCGGGAAAGACTTATGAGACACCCTTGTACAATGTACAGTGTACAGTACAGTATCTTCACCACAACTGTACTGTAAGTGAGTCAAAGTTTTGATACAGTATACTGTACTGTACAGGATTTTCAATCCCCCAAAATTTGTTGTATTTGAATTTGAATTTTAAACCATTCCAATTAGAAATTTACTTTTTCTGCTACTTGCCTCCGGTTACGTCGATAACTGCCAAGATACGTATGTTAACTATGCTAATTTCTTGATAGCATGCCCAAAGTAATTTTAACGTACATACAAGGATGATAATCGCATAGTTAGCGTAGGGCATGATCACTTCTTGCCATTTCAAATTTGCCAAATGTAAGCGGTATTTGCGGGTCACGATAGGATACAACTTTGTGGTATTGAATGAGGAAGAAAATTGATTGATCTTACATCTAGCCGTAATGTGATATTGAGTGTTGTCGGCGTATTTTTAGTCGATCAGCAAAGCTGTTGTTAGATCGAGCAGGAATATTCTCTATCATGACATTCCTACTGTACAAATGCAATCAAAACGTTCAGTACTGTACAGTACATGATACGCTAATCGGTCAAACCATTTGCCTGTTATATAAACATTCATTACGGTAGCTGTTGACTGAGCAATTCTGAAGTTCTGAACTACTGTACTGTACAAAATGCAAATGACCGTATTAGTACGCCCATCATGGAATGTAAATGAATCTTTTCGCCTATCTGTACTCAGTAATCATACTATTTTGATCTCTTTTACCAGCACTCTATTCCGTTCATCTCATCGAGAAGAAGATTACAACCGCCATGCCTGAAACTGAGGTAGCGAATGGTAAATATGCAGATGCTGCAAAATACCTAACTGAAACGAGCTTAGGAAGGAGATATTCCGTAGAGGAAACACTAGCCTTGCGAAAAAAATTTGTCGGGTAAAAGGATAACGTTCAAACTGTTACTAGTAGTGAGTGATACGATGCATTGAGTTACTGAAAAGCTCATCAAGTTGACTAAGATGACCGTCAACGTGAAGAAATGACTTTAAATTTCGATTGATTCATTTTTTATTATCCAAGGTCTTGACGACAGTACAACTCATCGTTCTACTGTATACAGTAATATCAATTAATTAACTATTGATGTTTAAATTAAACAACGCCATTGTTGCCTTACTACAGTATCAAGTTATTCCAAATCCCAAATTACTGTAATCATTCTTATGCTTGAGTTCAACAGCAGTACTGTTAGGTCTTCCCTTCATTCAATCGAGCTTAATGCAGTACCGAATTAGTGATACGTAGGATAGAGATAAAAATTATTAAAGCAATCATTGCATCCTTTACATAGACTGTATTTTCCATCGAATCAATTCGTAGAATAGTTATCAGTATCAAACCTCCAAGTAATCTAATTTATATCGAGTATGTTATCCTCCGCGAAATTACTCTTAATTACAACTTGCTGTAATTGTACTGTTACCATTAAATCTTATTGCAATACATTCTTGTGTATACAGAAAATCGATGTATTACTTTTATGAAGATGATCCTTTGAAGATTGTTCGTGGTCGTGCACAATACCTATACGATAAAGATGACAACCGTTACTTAGATTGTATCAACAATGTCTCTCACGGTAATTTTTTTACCATACTTATATGCACTGTGATAATGATAAGGAGTGATCAAAATTTACATTGCGATTAGTATTGAATTTCCTTCATTCTGTAATCTAGCTGGCTAATGATACCAGGTAAAAGCAGACATGTCATAAATATTATGATTTCACCTTAAAATCATCGCAGTGCTACTGTTGCCTAATGAAAGTTGCGATACACCCTAAGATTTAAAAATGAAAATTTTTTGCTAATCACAATTAATATTATCAGATGTAAAAGACAGTCAAGACATTTTTCTAAGTTCGCATAAGGTGATAGTTAATTTGAAAGTTTTTTTGCGGTTGCTACATGACCTGACAGGTCGATCCTTACACTATTCTAAAACCTTACATTTTAAAAGTAAATTCTAAACTCTAAACATAAATGATGATTCTCTTTGATAAAATCTACTCGGCAATTATTGCATTAAAGGTTACACAATATCGTCAGTTATCATAGAACTAAGTAATATCTGCAACAAAAGCTCATCCTTAATGTGCGTTAGTAAAGGGAAATGCAAATAATTCGGTAATACTGTTACGCTTATGCAACTTGACAATTGCGAATCTTTTGACTGTATAATCCAATTTCACCATTGTCTGATTCTACAGTTGGGCATTGCCACCCTCATGTTATCGAAGCGAGTCATAAACAAATGTCTCAATTAAACACTAACGCAAGATTTCTCCATGATAACCTGGTAACATACGCTGAAAGATTAGCTAAAACAATGCCTGGAGACTTATCTATCTGCTTCTTTACATGCACAGGGTAATAATATTATTTCGGCAATATTTTATCTTCGCTTCATCTTTATGCTAAGGAAAATTTATTTTGAAGTTATATAGCAATTCATATAAGCTAAATTTGCTTGCCTGTTACAATTTCTCATAGATTACTGAATATTGTATAAATATTCCTATTTTAGGACTGAGGCTAACGATTTAGCAGTCAGACTTGCACGTTGTTATACAAATCATAATGACGTTATAGTATTAGAGGAGTAAGTATCGATTTGATACAAATTTGCAATACACATTAAAACTAGTTTTTAGCTGAGGGTGCATACTGGTTACTGAATACTTCATCACAGTGCATACCATGGAAACGGCAGTTCTACAGTAGAACTGAGCTCCTATTCGTTTAACAAGCCGGGTTATGGTGGTAAACCTGAGCATGTTCACGTGGTACTTCAATCTTGGAAATTAATCACTTTGAAAACTAATGGCAGATACTGCTTTGTTTTATTTACAATATTAAAGTGTATCAATTAAATTTCTCTTCAGGCCAAAAAGCCAGAATGCTATAGAGGAATCTATCGTGGTAATCCCAACAGCAATGAATTAGGTATACGCTATGCTGAACTTGTCCAAGAAGAAATCCAGATGGCACATAAAAAAGGACAAAAGGTGATATGATTACTCTCTTGGTACAGTTATTTTCTTTTAGTGATCAGATTTCCCTATGAATTGCCATAGCATCGCAATAGACTGCACAATATTATTTCTAAATAGAAGAATATTTAAAGTAACTGTAGCTTGATGTAGATGATTCAACAAGTCTTTCTCTCAAGATTACCGTAATTACTAATAAAGTTTTCAATATATAATTAATTAATTAGCCTGATTACAAATTACCGACATTTAAGTCTATTCCGTCGTCTTAGGATAACTGATTAATTCTTGCGACTTCATTTTTCATCATATCGTCAACAACAATTATTGTAAGCGTTAATTTTCTTTCATACTTAAAACATCAAGCTAATTAATTATCAGTTATCAGATTGTATTAATAATTGATTCAGCAAATTGAAGTAACACCTCAATAATAACAAGTTGATGTAAAGAGTAAAAATTGTAATCAAAAGCTCTCAACAACGATTATTATAGCAATTTAAATACGATTTAATTGATATATAAACCAACAGGATAAGTTATTCTTAATTTATTGAAATTAACTATTTCGATAATGTGGCCGATAAGGTTTTGTTATTATTATGCAAGGCCACAGCTATTACAATTTATTTATAAACTATTTTAATGTACATTGCCGACAATTTTCTGATAATACGGTAGATGGTACTTATTGCACTGCAACAGTTTCGATAATAAATCCATTCACTTATTTTTCTACACGTCCATTAAATTTAGATAGCTGCATTTCTGGCAGAAACAATGCCAAGCTGTGCAGGCCAGTTTATTCCACCTCCGGGATATTTGCGTAATGTATATAAGTGAGTAAAAAAAGTCAATGCTTTCCAATGCTTAAAGAATTTTAGAAGGAAAAAAAGTATTGACATTTTAAGTTTTTAACATACGTAATGACGTAATAGTAAAAATCTTACTTAAAATCATATCATACTGTACTGATATTACAAACATCATGTACAACATGTGTTCACTTGCTTTGATCTATTATTGTAATTATATTAGATACGTACGGGAAGCTGGAGGTATCTGCATCGCTGATGAAGTTCAAACTGGATTTGGACGTATGGGTAAATACTTTTGGAGCTTCGAACATCAGGGTAATCTATCGCTTCGTTAATTAACTTTCCCCTAAATGGTAAAGACTCATGTCCCGAAATTGTTATAAGCTATTGAGTACTTAAATTCTTTTTAGGGGTTATTCCAGATATTGTAACACTAGGTAAACCGATAGGAAATGGTCACCCATTGTCGGTCGTAGTTACCACTCCGGCAATTGCTGCAAAGTTTGAAAAATTTACATATTTCAACACAGTTAGTATTAGCAAAAGCAATCCCTGGCATTTTTTATCGTCATTATTTTTCAATCTTTACATTTATTTTGCCTTAGTTTGCAGCAAATCCGGTTTCCTGCGCTATTGGTCATGCCGTTTTAGATGTTATTGAGAACGAAAATCTTCAAAAAAATGCGGAAACCGTTGGATACTACTTACTTCAGAGGGCAAAAGAATTGTTGGACGAGTTCAAAATCATAGGAGATGTGCGGTAAGCAAGCCATTATGGCAATCGTGAACTTTGGGTTCGGCAATATTTTTGACTAAAGCTTTACAAACTAATTCACAGTCAACTTCATAAGAAATCGTATTGATAGCTGAATTATGCGCTTAGCACATTGCTAATTTATTTATATACCATTTCTAAAATGTTTTAGTGGACTTGGTCTATTCCTAGGAATAGAGTTAGTTAAAGATCGTAAGTCTAGGGAGCCAGCTGTTGAAGAAGCGGCATCAGTAGTAGACTTGTAAGCTAGTAATAACTAGAATAATTTCCTATAGTATTATATGGATTTATCGTATGCAATATTATGTCGATTTACCCGAATAATCCTTCAATTAGTATGAAAGAAAAGCACGTTCTAATTGCTAAAGATGGTCCAGATCGAAATATCATAAAATTGAAGCCTCCCCTCTGCTTCACTAAAGCGAACGTTGATACTTTTATAGCGACGTTTAAGCAAGCTTTAAACAATTTAAAACTCTGAAATCTCCTTGCGTTTGCAAATTATGATGTAAAATCATTGAAATTCAATCCATTTTATTCAAGCATTTTAAACATTTTTATTCTCTTAAAGCTGCCGGTGCAATAGTCTGCGAACCATCTGAACCAGTTCCTTAGTATGATAAAGTTTAATTTTTATGTGTTTCAAAAATTTCTAATCGTAATATAAGCGCAAATTGTATAAGATACTAGTGGCTAGTTGAGCTCTTTCCGCAATACATTGATTATACAGCACAGTAAATATCACTAGTCATTGAATATAAGCACAATCATGCAATTAGCAACATCTATTATTTTAGTTTTTAAATCCGATAAATAGCTGCTTCTACTACGAAAGTTATCAATTTGACTATGATATATTAGAACTTATGACATGAGCTATCTAATCATATTTAGCCTGACTATAATTTTCGTCATTAATCACAAATATTATATTCGACTTTTGATAAGACTGTAAGGCATTCAATATGAAGAAATTTTTCCCTTCCAGATTGTTTTATGTTACTGGCGTAAGTAATTTGGTCATTTGTGAAGCGTATTTTAAGCCAATTAATCGCATGTGCGAATCATTTCTAATATGGAACGGCCTCATGCACACCAGATTAACTCCATAGTAGCGATAGTGTACATCTTCTACGCAAAGTACATATAAGAGTACTATTCTATATTGAGCTACTAGGTAATTCTATACTTCTGTCAACTGTCTCTATTATGCAATACATGTTACAATTAATTGCACAATGACTACTAAAACTAGTCTTCTCAAAAGCTTATGCATGGATTGCTTCTAGCATTAAAGAGCATTCGAGTACTTCTATAAGTTACTGCATAGTAGGAAATTGATGGCATATTCAACATGACAAATAAGGATAGCCATTGTACGTAAAACTCCAACTGTGCAGACCACAAGTAGCATATTACATATGTTTATTTCACATGAATGAATGATTCTTCAGAAATGCAGACTACAATTCAATAGTGAAATCTATACAGATATATATATTTTATCTAATCAATGATAACTCCTCAGTTTATGAGAAACATCGTCACATTCATTAAATTATATCAACGAGACTAAATATTAGAATTCAGGATAGTTTAATATTTCCTTAATGGGCTATCCACTAGACAATAGCGTTACATTACTTTCGAAATGTCACAAAAGCATTGACATTTTAAAATATTTCTTATAGCCTTAAAACTAGATACAAAATCATATTGGCTTTACGTTGTTAAGAATTTGACTGGATTTGATGTAATGAAGAAACTAGTTGTAAATAATTTAAAAATGCACCATTTGTCGAATAAAATATTTACGTTTTTATTTTATTCGACTGGCTATAGCAAACACGGATAAACGATAAAGTATTAATATATGATCAACTGAAAACAGTATGGCTAATTCATTCATGGTTTTACTTAGAAAAATTTACTTTCAGTCAAAGCTAATCCAGTTCTTGGTAATCCAATTCTATCTTATTCAAAGTTAGCCTATTCAAAAATTATCATATCAAGTAACGTAGATATTACGATACATGAGCCAAGCTTTACTTCCTTTAAGTAAAGGTTAAAATTTTTCAGTCTCTGTTTACAAATGGAGAATAAGGAAAGAAAAATTATGCATTGCTTTAGATACTAATTTATTCAGGGTAAATCAATATTCACTCGAAACATCAATTATAAATATAACCGTATGTACCAATCCATCTTTGGATTCTTTACAAAAAAGTAAATACGAGATTTATGTTAAAACATTTTTCAATACATAAATACATCATAACAATAAAAACATAAACATACAGCAAATACTCTTGCTCTATAAATAAGGAATCAAATATTAATTAATGAGTGAGCTGTGTTACAATCTGTAAAATTTCAAAAATTTGCTATACAGCCTACTGTATACGCTTGCTAGCGGTCATTTTTAATTTTTTCACACGGCAACTATAAGAACAACAATTGCACACAATTTAATACATTAATTAATAATAAAAATCTTAAATAGGCATGAACATGAACACAACAACACAAAATTATTTGTATTTCAAAGAAACTGATTTCCTTTAGCAACATATTGTTAAAATTTACAATTTGTGCGAGCACGAAGTATTGCTTTCTATTTACTTACAAAATTCTTATTGTCATAATGTTGTTAAAATACAATATCAACAAATATTTAGGCCTTGTACTGTTTTATTAACTACAGTTAAGACTTTATAATACATCTAGAGATCTACTAAATGAGTATAAAATTACAAACAACGCTTATTTTAAGAGCAATTATGGAGATATCGCTATACACCATTGAATCTCATCAACAAATCACTATAATATTGTCATTTTTCGCTTTCCCTAATTAAGCAGCTCTATTACGCTGCGTTGATTTATTTGGCATGCATACGAAACAAAATATACCCAGTACGTTTTTCAATAATGTCAAATAATAAACCATTGGTTGTAAATTATACCGTAGAAAGGAAATACTATCATTATTACCTCTATACAAAGAAAACATGCTCTGCTTTATAATGTACGTCATACTGATATACGAGCACAATTTCCTCTATTTAAAGAGCGCTTCTTTCATTATCGATTGTATGTTAATATCTGCCATCAATAGAATTTAACGCTTGATATCCATTTAATGCATTAGCGCTTTGATATTACTGTATACTTTTTCCAGACCGTTATTCATTGCGATCATTTCTTCATATCCTACCATGTTGTATGTTCAATATTGGTTTAGACTGTTATATTATCCGCCTTATTCTAGTCTCCGTTCCATATAGTATATAATCCAAATAAACTCCATAGGTATTCTATAAATCGCAATTAACTAAGCGTAGTACCGTATCGTATCGACGATAGATGATTAAAAGTAAAGAACTTTCCAAGAATAAACTGTCAATTATCTTTTGTACTTGCACACCTGCTTACCAATGCCTTAAATATGTTATTGACCAAATTGCCTATATCGAGACCGGGTTTTATGTATTGTGATTAAGAAAGGCATAATTTTTTATCATGATTATATAATCAACCTACACATACGTATATCCGTTGATAATTTCGTACCTATCCCAAAATAAATCCGCCTTTGTAATAGCAGAATGAATAGGAGACTGTACAGTGGCACAACACTATTACGTAACAACAGCTTGACCGAACGGAATTGCGTAAAATGCTGAATTTATCGATAATCCTAATGGAACAATTGTTAATTCTCTTATGGATAAATAGAATTTAATGTTGTATGTTGCTATCTGACACTGATTCGGTCATAAACTATCAATAATTACAATATGCCGTGCGTACTTTATCTGATCAACCTAAATGTAGTAATGGTGGATAGTATTACACTGTAGTTGATCAGTCTTGACCGAATCTCTCTTTCTCCAATTATCTCGAAGGAAAATAACTTTACGAATCGTCGATATTCTAATACTTATCTTGGGCAGTATTTCATAGCATCTATTTTGAATATTGTACCAATCAATGCACTAGTACAAATTGAAGCAGAGTTTATGTAAGGGATCTATTGAGTACTCTTTAATTTAAGCCATTTCCTAGTCAATCTAGCAGGCATGAATGCATGTAAACAAAATCGCTTCTGCACGTGCGACCTCTTAATTATTGTAAATAAATACTTGTTTACTACGCCATTGCTCCTACCCGATAAAGCGGATCTCTGTAGCTTCTACGAGCATCTTAGTTGTAGTTTGGGTAATCAATACCGGTGTTATACTGAATGACTAATTTCATACTCTTATCATAACAGCGTAGTAATGAATTGATTTTACGTCTTCTACAGTGTTGCAACATAGCGTTAATAGTATTCAAACAGTTTTTCTCAATTCCTGTCTCATTGACTGCGATGCTGTTACAGGATCAATTAATTACAAATTAAATCGGATCTTAAAATGTACTCTTTGCTTAACTTTCATTCAATCATAAAATTGCGAAATGTTTCATAACTTCATTTTTATGATATTGAACAAATTTATTGACAATCTAGCTTAAATAAATGAACGGATGATCATTAATATACTCTAGAATTGATAAAATAAACTTAGTTCCATTACGGAGTGGATTGGTAGAAATCATGAGCAAAAATATTGATAATTATAAGCATATCATTAATTTTCTTAATTGCAAATATAAATATAAGCGCACAGATGTACCGGCGGCAACTTCATCGTCTTCCTATACATACTGTCTACTCCAAGTTTATACATATCAAAAGTTAATGATCATACCAGACGCCATTATTAATCTGCATACAGTCATAATACAACGACGGTAGTCAACTATTATATTTAGTATTGATATTAATGTTTAATTTCAAGCTTGCTCGCGACTTGTAGGAAGACTGTATCTGAGTGATTACTAAATGTAAATATTACGGACTAATTACCCAGTCATAAATAACATTTGTAAATGGAAAATGAAAGCTTCTATAGCTACAGTTTTCCGGCCAACTGTGCAACAAAACACGTATCTGTCTGCTTACTGATATACGTAATGACTCTGCTAAATAATAATATTTAAGACTTTCAGTCTGTGATTAGTCGAGGTGTCGTGGATAATTAATAGTATGCTTACCGCATACTATCGTACGAACGAGGCAGTGTTGGCTGGCAGTAGATTATAACCCCCGTTCAAATAACCCAAGAATTTAGTACAAAAGTACAGCCTAAGTCAAATAGCAGGCTGTAAAATAGCGTTCTAACCCGAGTCAACAACTAGAAATCACGAATAACCCGTGTTTTTTCCAACACTGCTCTGCTGTAGGATGCTTGGTATCGCCGGGTCGTCTAAGAATAGATTGAGCAATCGTTGGTAACCGCTATTCATAGTGGTATAGTCAAATTATAATGTGTGCTGTTGGCTGATAATTTTAATGCACTCATTTTCTATCTAGCGTGTATAATTAATGGATCTCGGCACAGTCGAGCATTAATTAATTAATGCTGCTACAGATGT